AATGTTAGCTTTGGCTTGTAGAGCAAATGATGCAGGATTGAAACATTTTTATTTTTGTTCAATCAATCTTAATCATAAAATATGATGCAAAATACTTATTACATAAACAGAAGCTGTGAAGTCAGTGAAATAACAAATCTACTCCTACACTGGCCATATATGAATGCTGCAATAACATATGGATGTGTTATTTTTTATTCCTGCATTAAAAAATGACCTACAGTATATCAAAGCCCACTCATAAGTTTGGTGACAGTTCAGAGCAGTTATGCTACCCATGAGACTTTCCCTGCCAGCTATAGATATGATTTACAAGGCCTGCGGCAGCCTTTAAAGGCCTCATTTTTAACTTCTTACAGTCATTTAGAAGACTGAATGTCTTTTTTGTGGAAAGTGTTTTCAACTATTGAATATCATAAAGTTTTTTTAAATTGGAATGGGTTTGAGTAAAGGGGCTGGGTGTTGTATTTTTAACTGGCCTAACAGGTTTTATTTATGACAGTATCATAGACCAAAGTAATGGCGACCCATTGGACCTACCTATGGGTAAGGCGAGAAAGAAGGGCAGCCAACAAAGCGTAAACATGCCGACCACAACTCCCAGAGTTTTTGCCGCTTTCTTCTCCCGGGAGAATTTCAGAAGTTTCACCGTGAGGGAACTTCTCGCTTGGTGCGCACGGCCCTTGCCGGTGCCGCCGGGGTCCTCCTGCACCTGAGAACCCTTGTGGATCCTGAGGGTCAGCTCACTGGAGTTCATCCTCTCTCGCATCACACCGGCTTCCAGGTTCTTAGTGGTCCGTTTGGCGACTATGTACACCCGGCAATACATGGCCAGAATAACGACGAGAGGGATGTAGAAGGAGCCGAGGGAGGAGAGCGCGTAAAACGGCTCCTCGGTGATCGGGCACACCGTGTCGTCCGGCGATGGCTCCTGCTTCCACCCGAACAGAGGTCCAATGGAGATGACCACAGACAGCGCCCATACGCCGAGCATGGCAAGCAGAGCCCGCTTCTCGGTCACGATGCCCGGGTACTGCAGCGGATGGCTCACCCCGATGTAGCGGTCGATGGATATTACGCACAGGCTCATGATGGACGCGGTGCAGCACAGCACATCCACCGCCGCCCAGATGTCACAGAAGATCCTGCCGAACACCCAGTATCTAGGATCTCCAGAGTGGCGGACACCGGCAGCACCGTGGTGCTCAGCAGCAGGTCGGCGATGGCCAGGTTGATGATGAAGTAGTTCGTCGGGGTGCGTAGGTGCCTGTTGCACACCACCGAGAGGATGACGAGGATGTTACCCGCGATAGCGAACACGATGAAAGCCCCCAGTACCAAGCCGAGCGGGATGGCTCGGGTGAGGTCCACCTCGCTGTGCTCCGTGTTGTTCCCCCCGGAGCTGTTGGTGAAATTGACCTGGGAGGACGCGCCCGGAGTCCCGTCGAGTTCCGAGGAACCATTTTTCCACAAGTTTGTGACATTGTCAGTGCTCAGACTCATTTTGACTCAAGAGGTCCTCCATAGCAGGCTTCTACTCACTTGTAACTGCAACTCACGAAAGAGCTTTACTTAACATAAATAAAAGGTTTTAAATGGCCTGAGTCTGCATGGTTTAGCTGCGTGTTTGTAAGATCATTTCCAAACCAGCGCTGAGAAAAAGCGTTCGCTGTGCAGCCGTAGGCTACAGTCCCCATGCAGTCCTTCTCCCTCTCCACTCTCCTGGGGGCTGAGTGGAGAAGTGAGGGGGCAGCAGTCATCTCCTGCCTCCTCTGCACCACACACAGCTCTGCCATGTAGCTATTGACCACTTCAACACCAGCCTGTGAACCACGCATGACGCATAATTACACGAAGAGCTGTGACTCCACAGTATTTGCAACAATTTACACAACTGTATAAAGGATTAGAGAATGAAGTGTTTGGGAGGAGCGCTTGACTGGACAAAGTGAAAGACTCAAAACCACTTTTACTTTGTTTCCAGCTTTTAGTGTGAAATACCTAAAGAAGGTCCATATATTTCAGTGGCAGTAGAAAGAAATAAGAGGATTACAAACGTGACTCAAGGTATGCTGGAGCAAATATGTCTCAGTGTTAATAACCCTTGAAATAAGGATCTACTCAGTTTACATCTATGTGTGGTTAACCTAAATATGTTCAGGGAGGCAAAATAACATACAATCCCCTCTACTATAGCAGGTATTTCTCTCCTAGTTTGGTCAAATGCAAGAGTTTCTCAAAGTAAACTCATTTTGGATATGAGCTCCGTTGGTGAGGAGTGACTGATTTAATGGAATGAGTTCAGACACAAGCACATTCCTATAACTGAGGTTCGTCCTGTTTAAGAGCTTTTTGACTTCTCATGATGTAACACTGGTGGAGCAAAACAGAATCTTTAAAGCTCAGTTAAAGTGTTTTTTAATTTACTCATCAGATTGCATTGGCTTCATTGTCTTTTCCCCAGGAATGTTCATAGCATCAGGTTGTCTTTTGATACCAGTTTGGCATTTTGTTACATTTCTAATTGATTTGTTTGTTTATTCTCAATATTAATTTCCCGTTCTTTATGTTTTGGGGTTACCAAAAGATCACAAAAGGTCAGTTTAAAACATCTGAGTGATTTAAATAACAATAAATTAATAGGATTTATTCATGTACCTTAATGTTCTTCAGAGCTCAATAGGTATGCAGCTGCAAATCAAGAGATCCCTAAATTTTACAGTGTGTGGCAGCATTCCTTCCGAGAGGATCAGGCTTTAGACGCCCACGTAGTCTTTCAATCCTTCAACAGACACCAGAGCACCCTGTCATTAGGAGCATCTTTCTTAAAAGATGAATCACCTGGAATTATCATCACTTCATATCTAAGGCTGGATTTTAGTGCTGGGATTAAGTGCATTTCACTGCCCATTTCACTTGATTAAATAGACCGCGCTTTCAGATAACATAAAAGCTTCTGCAGCTTAGCATGCTGCCAAGTGCTCCGGGTGAAAGAAAAGTTTCATAGCCTTCACTGGAAATTCAACTTCAACAGGAGCGTCCTCCGTCTGTTCGTGTGCTTCAGTGGTGAGGATTTGCCTCAAGTTCAAGAGGATCAACTTTTCTTCTTGGCAGGGCAAACAATATAAATCTTGAATTACATAAGACACGGAGCAATTATATTTCTTTTTAAAGACATGGCTCCTAGTTTTGCACAGTCATTTGTCATTATTTCAAACCGTTTAACATTAATCAAGTCAGATTAAGAAAGATGTTTTTTTCTAGACTACAGATAAAGACATTCCCACATTTAGAATAGTTTGTTTTGTTATGTCAGACATTTATTTCTCCTTTGAGCGCCAGCAACTGAAGGAGATTTCCAGTTTGACATGGATCTTAAACTGTTTGGTTCAATGTTGTTCCTGCTGTGAGAGGTCAGAGTCTTCTGTTTAGAGCCTGACCTCAGACCGGTCTGGTCACGGCTATGCTTTGCCCACTGACACCACATGTTCAGCACTATCCAGTTCAGCAAGAGAAACAAATCCTTTTATCATCACACAGGACTGATTTAGATGACAAACTGTGCAGAAAGAAGTGTGCAGAGTTGTGTTTGACTGTATGACAGGTTTACTGCTTATCAGGTCTGAAGATGAAGTGTTGTATTCAGGTCCTTACCTTAAGTAAAAGTATACATTAGTGTATGAATACTCCATTAAATGTAAAAGACCTGCATTAAAAATACTGCATAAGTTAAAGTACAGAAGAATTATCAGCAAAATGTACTTCATACATCAAAAGTGAAAAAAACTCTGGCACCCGTGACTGATTATTAGCTGACATTATTAGATTGTTAATACTGATGCAACAGTGTTTAAGCACAAATTTACTGTTGCTGCTGGTTGAGGTGGAGCTACTTTCAACTACATTATTAACAATTAGGTATGTGGAATCCAGTGGTTCCCAACCTGGGAGGCAGGCCCCCTCCAAAGGGTCATAAGATAAATTTGGTGGGTCATAATTGAATGGGATAGGACAGAAGAGGAAAAAAGTTCTGTTGTTGATTTAATATTTTTTCTCAAATCTTTGCTTTTTTTGTGAAATATTGGACACGTTTACATCTTTGAGCCTCAAATAGTGATTTAAATTTAAACACCTGATAAGTTTGGAGGGGAAGAACTGCTAACAACTCATAAATGTGATAAAGGGCACCAACCAAACACGTTTTCTTTTAAATGCCAAAGTTTGGGTACCTCTGGTTTCATCTAACAATGCACTGTATTTTACAAGCCTTTCATGTGTTTTTGTTTTTAATGCAAAAGTAACTACACAGTAACTACAATATCCCTCTGAAATGTAAAGAAGTAGAAATATAAAGTAGCACAAAATAGAAATACTAAAGTACCTCAACACTCTACTCAATTTGGAAATGAATAACACTTTTCATAATTTCCTAGTAGCTTACGACCTGACTGGGCAACAAATCTGGCACCTGCGAGGCAAATAAGTCTGGAAGTGGTTCACCATCATTTATATAACACAAAGTATATCATTTTAGGGCAAACCTCCTCTTATAGTTGTTTTGATCCCATCAATGTGCAGATAGTTGCCAGCTGGCAGTGAAGCCCACACAGACCTAATCTATAGCAGCCCACCTGGATGAGTGGGCTCCTGCTGCCTGGTCATGTAGTCTCTCCCACACCATATATGGACGATGTTGTGTAATATGCCAAAGACCGAGAAAATACTTTTTGTTGTATAACTGTTTTTTGGGATTAGTATGATTTTGGAACGACCATAAATAGACTCAAGGAGCCAAGATACAAAGATGGAGCACACGATTAGCTTTTCTGGTTTTGTCACTATTTTCTTCAAGCACTCATCTCGGGGGGGAAATTAATGCGCTTCAAAGCCATAAATAACAGGATGCACATCATGCTGTATCATGAAAGGATTGCAGCTTGTACATTCTGTATCCATCTCTCAGAGGAAGTTTTATTTCAGCATGTTTAGAGTGACGTCTGTTAAAATAACCTTTATGTGTGCGCCTGCAATTACATGAGAGGCCTAATCTTTCATCAGTAAGGTTAATGGTTCTTTTTTTTGTAATCATCCCCTAAAACAATGGAAGTAAAATGGCAGTAAAAATATTATATTATATAGTATTGTGTACTGTGTGTATGTGTTACATATTACTGTATCTGAACCACAAGTAACATACATACATACTTAACATACATTTTGGCTAACTTCATCTCTATTTAGGGAAAGTCTGAAAACAAAAGTCCTGAATACAAGAGATCTTGAAATTTAAAGTGGATTGCTTATCGCCAACATGTTCAAGCTCTCCATTCTCATCTTCAGGGCTGGTGTGTTGAGTTTTGGCAGTTTTGACCATTATATCTAATACTGAGAGCATGGGGAAGGGAAAATGAGAAAAGCAGAGCTTAAAGACATTGGTTCAAGGAAGCCCTCATTATATGAAACCATTAAGCACACTCAATCACTAAATCAGCATCGCAGACACTGTCCTGGTCTCCTCAGCTGAATGAGGCCAAGGTGATCCACCAGACTGGGCTGACTGACCATACACCACCTGGAAGATTCTGGTTCAAGTGCTCTTTTCATGTGTTCTGACCCTGCTGACCTGCCTGCACAGAAGGCAAACAAAAAAGGCAGGGGTGTCTTTGAAGCATGACTTCATGTATGCAGATGTATTTGGCAAATTTGAGAGCTGGGTTGGAGCCAAACAGCAGACAGACACACTTGGCTAGTAGCTGGTGCACTGCAAAAACTAAAATCTAAGTAAGTTTAATTATCTTAATTGAAGGCAAAATATACATGTTTTTTGTCTGACCAGATATTTCTTCTTACCTGGCAGCTTTTATGTTAGAGAATTTCACTTGTTTCAAGTTTTTTTTCCTTATGTAGCAAGTGAAATATTCTTGTTCTGTTTGCAGATAATTTTTCTTATTTTAAGTAATATTTCCCCAATTTTAATGCTTTTTCCCTTGTTTTTGAGAGCTCACTTTTTGCAGTGTGAACATAGTGGAGCATTCAGCAGCTAAATAGTCAGATATTTCCCTCAGGAGTTGGCGTGACCAAAAACTGAGATAAAATGAGTGTATTGCACTGTAAATAAGCCAGCTAAGCATGCTCGACATTTAACTTTATGATGTGATGATACATCAAGGCTGTGTTTGCAGCTCATTGTGCTTCCACCAAGAGGAAAGAAAAATAAATTAATGCTGAGTTAAAACTTTTTTGGCATACTGGGATTGTGTCAAATTTTTGCCATATTAATTTTGTTTTGTAATCTGAAAAAGCCAAACTACTCAAAACAATCCTTGTCTTAATACCAAGCTACTGTGGTTTTTTACAGCACAAATCTTTCCATACATTTTATACTTTGACTGAAAGATAATATTTCCTTCTATCTTTCAAGACCTTGCCCTCCCTTGGAAAAACAAGGAAGATCCCATCTGGTTTCCATCAAAGGAGCAGAGGATTCACACCACGGCTCATGGATGTGACAGGCATGGCCACTTGGTAGCACATTTCCCAGTCACTGCCACATAATAAGCTGAGTTAATGTTTTTGTTTCCCTGACAACAGACATTTGGAGCTGCTGCTGAATGTTTCTTATTTGGGATAACACGAAATATTTTGGACAAGAAATCCACATATCTTTCCAAGTCTCCAAAGATTGTCACATAAAATGGGAAGTGAAGTTAAACTGTCCTTTGGGACTTTGCTGGGAATGAAT